ATTTCAAAGGCTGATATACTCCCTTTCTAGCTGGAGATTGTGAACCAGGAATGTTGGCTCTTTTGTGTCACCAGACAGCTCAGGCAGTAATGAACTGGTGCCTACCAAAATGGCGGTATCGGCTGGAGTGAGCTTCTCTAGTCCCAGTCTTCATCACTAGAAGGGATGGAGATGCAGGCACTGGCTAACATCATCCAAACCACCTACTTAACAATTGTAAGTGTACATGGGTATCAGCTGATTTAGAACAAAGCTGCCAGTTGGGCACCAAAACAGCTCCAATGTGCTTTATTTTGCTGGAGCAATGTATCTTTAAAAGCATACATCAAGAAACAGGACAAATCTTGAACTGTGAAGAACAGCTGTTGAGGCAGGGCACCTGACACTGGTGGAATACCAGATTTCTTTGTGGCACTGTAGAAGCTGAAACAACCATAAATGCACAGGCTCCCTGATCTCAGGTTGGCCAGGACTTAAAACACATTCTTGCCAACCTGATTCCACTGCAGAGAATAAAATATCGTTTTGATAATGTTGCACTGTCCTCAAAACATCTTTGATTCCCAGAACTGGTAGCCATGTCATTAAGATCCTGTGGAAGGACTGCTAGTTCCAGTCCCACCTGCCTCATCAATTCCTGCATACTTAAGCATAATATTTTTTGCTCTCAAGTTGGCTTTCAGACTAGTCCCCTTTTAAAAGCAGGAACACACGAGCCCCCTTGCGTATAGAATTGTGTCTGTGTGAAATGGGTTACACGCTGCCTGCAGCCATTTCCAAAACAGTGGCAGCTGCAAAAGAGCTTAGTGGTGAAGAAAATAAACAGGGAGTCAGGGAGCCCTTAGTGAAAAATTCACATTGGCTGTGAGTTCACTGGATGGCAAGGACACAATTTCTGACAGAAGAGGATTTATGCCGGTGTAGACTTCCAGGATGTACGTACGTGTGCATGCGCAAACAAAAGACCGACTGAACCTCTCCAAGGGTTGGTTCATACATGCATTTCCCAAGATCAACTGAAAGTCTGTCTTAAGACCTGCAGCAACACACAAATCCCCAGCCCTTTTTCTCCCTGCAGAGAGAGATACTTGCCGACACACACAAATGCTTGCCAGAATTTTTGTAAAGCCCATTTGCTGCTATTGATGTTTGATTGCATTTTAAAAATCAGTTTGTTTATTATTTTACTGCTTTGTTGTAAGCTGCATTTGGAACTGAACAACATTTCTTCACTTCAGACTCCCGGTCTGTTCTAGTCCAAGACTGTTGGGCAAGCACTTTCTAGGGTCTCAGGAAGAGACATACCTGTTACCTGAGTCGGTTTAACTGGAGATGCTGAGGGGGGCTGAAACTGGCCCCAAGTTGAAAGGCAAGGTAGAATAAATCTTGTTAGGAGCTTACTTTGGGGCCTGCACTTACGTTTTAACATAAAAACATAAGAAGACTCCTGCCCATCTAATCCAGCCACCCAGATACTTGTGGGAAACACACAAGCAGGACTCGGGTGCAACACACTCTCCTCATCTGGGGTTTCTAGCAACTGATATTCAGAAGCATATTGCCTTGGACTGTGGAGACAAGCATAACTATGATGGCTAGTAACCATTGACAGATAGCCTTATTTGTCCAATCCTCTTTTAAAGCCATCTAAATTGGAGGCCATCACTGCCTGCTTTGGGACTGAGTTCCATAGTTAAACTATGCACTGCAAGAAGCAGCACTTTCTTTTATCTGCCCTGAAACTTCCAACATAAACTTTTCCACTTCATGCCATGCATAACTTCTAAAAAATTCTGTCGTGTTACTTCTTACTTGCTTTACACTCTCTTTGGAAAACGACTGACTGGCCCATAATGTTTCTGCTCCTGTTATGCTTAAAGGATTATTTAGGCAGATTTAGATAAGAGTCCATAAAAATTACTCAATCTGTTCTCTCAATGACTCCATCCGAGGTCCCCAAAGGCAGCCTCTCTTAACTTAGCAGAAATTCATGCTAGCTGAAATCATTAGGGTTTTTAAAAAATAAACGTTCTGAGGACAGCAAATCAATCATCGCTGCATCACCTCCCACCCCATCATAAACTTTTTGCAGCATTTAAAAATATGCTACTTAAAATAACAAAATATGCAACTATGGGGCAGTATCTGCAAATCAAAAGGAATCCTTAAGCTGGTCCGATAATGGACTTCTAATTGTTAACAGAATGATTAACAGCTTTGCTCTGTTATATAATAGAGACTGTGCATATGGCCAGCATAGCAAAATCCTATAAAAGTATTCTACATACCATGACTTTTAGTTCCATGTAATATATAGTTTTTTTAATTACAAGATACTATGGATTATATGTGTCTGGGAACTCAAAGATAGGAGTCTGGTTGCCAAGTTCCATTTTTAGACTCTCATTACTACAACTTCCATTGTTTAAAGCAAAATACAAAAATATATACATTGCTCATTATGCAACACTAAAGGACAATGCACTCTTTGCATTAAACAACACAGGTTTTTATTGGTTGTCAGTCATAACACATATATCTGAAGGGAGGTTGAATTGCTGCAAATACAGTTCCGGCTTTTCTGTCTCAAATCATGTGTCAGTTCAGCTATTGTATCTGAAGTGTGATGTGAATTGGTGGCAACGCAGACCTTTGTTACACTTGTGCAGTACTTTCTGCACAATACCCTGATTGAGTGGGAGCCATTTGCAGCTCAGATGTCTATGATCTGTGACCTAAAAACAGCTCTAATTAAGTCTGACACAGTAGCGTATTAGCTTGCTTGAAAGCCACTGCAATCTATTCACATTATTAGCACCTCCCCCCACCAAAAAAAACATTCTACCTCTATAAGCTGGCAAAGTTACAGCTTCAGTTCGTTTGTTTGGCTGTAGATCTAACATAGATTGGGACCAAAATAACAGCTCCAGAGATTTTTAGTGCACTGTAAACGGTACATGGAAATGCAGAAGAATCCTCAATATATTTTGGAATGCACAATCCATTGTTGATAAGACCACCAGCTGCCTCCAGCAAAATTTAGCTTTGCCTTTAAACATATAATTATGAGAGACTCTGAGTCACTGTCTTACGGGGCTTCAACAATATGAAATATAAATTCAATCGATGTGAGATGCTAGTGTGCACTGGGATTTTTCTCTCCCCCCTCCTCCAACCCAATAAGGACAAACAACATGAAGAGTATTAAGAGGTGATTGTCAGAAGCACTTTAGACATCAGATTTAGTTAAAGTGACGACGACAAAGGACCATTCCACAAATTACACTTTAAACAAGTACACCCAAAAGAATGTGTGTTCCTATGAGCCTTGAACATGTGATCTACTTCAGAAGGCCAAGGTTCAAAACTTCACAGGTATGTGCAGAACATCTTCTACCTTTGTTGCATTAGCCTAATCCAGGAAAGCCTATCATAAGCCAGGGGTGTGTGTGTGTTCTTCTCAATAAGCCTTTTATGCTGTTTTAGGGCACTCTGAATATCCAGGTACCTGAAGGAAGGTTTCCATCAGTTTCAAATTCAGAAGTCCTGCATCATGAATTTAAGCTTGCATGAAAACAGTGGCAAAGTAAATGTCTGGCTGGCAAAAGAAATGGGCTTTTCTTAAGTAGACTGGATCTGCACATGAAGCAGAATGAGGTGGAAGGAGAGGTGGCAGAACGGACTGTAACATTTCTGTTAAATGGTGGGTAGACATGGCAGACGACACAGCGATGTCTCCAAAGCAGCTCTTTATTTTGTAAGCTGGAACAGAAACTGAACAGCAAACAGCTCAGCCGGCCTGCTTTTATAGGCAGCCAGCTGTCAACATTGTAGCAACAACAACCCAGGGTTTCCCACCTAAAATAACTGACGTGGACCTGAGTGAAAACTATCTACAGTATCCCCCTGCTGGCCCAGGGTGAGAACTTCAGTACATAACAATTTCCGCAAGTAATCATGTTTCTGAGGTCTTCCATATATGAAAACTAACTGGACGGAAACTAAAATAGTTGATATAGAAAAGTTGGGAGAAGTCTAACAGGATTTTTTTTTTTTAAAGCAGGGGAGCCTTCAAAAAGGTTACTCCCACCTGTGATCTGTTGGTCTGCTCTATGACCTCAGAATTCTCACCTGATTTTATTTTTTAAAGGCAGTGAATGATATCTTCTGATCAGCCCAGACACTGAGGCCCAGCTCCAAGGGCCTTCTGGCAGTTCCCTCACTGTAAGAAGTTACAGGGAACCAGGCAGAGGGCCTTTTCAGTAGTCACACCTGCCTTGTGGAAGGCCCTCTCATCAGATTTCAAACAAGCAACTAAATGACTTTTTAGAAGACATCTGAAGGCAGCCCTAAGTTTTTAACATCTGAGGTTTTATTGTATTTTTATTATTTTGCGGGGAACCACCCAGAATGGCTGGGGAAACCCAGTCAGATGGGTAGAATATAAATTAAATAATAACAATAATTTATTATTCAATCATGATTGCATCCATTGAATTGCTCCCATTCCCCATGACAAAGGTCCAGCTACACTTTTTCTTTTTGTCAAAACCATCTTTATTAAAGGAGAGTGTCGCGACAGAACATGTGTGTATGAAACTAGCTTTGATGAAAAGTGCTTTGTATGGAAACCATGATTACTGTAAATACACATGTTGGCAAAGTCAATACCACCTGGTCTCCAATTGCCGAAACTGCTGGTACAACTGAACATGCCTGGAGGATGTAGTTTGGGCAGTCGGCTTGGACTTATACAATGCCATTTGCCTAATAATTTAAAATTAGAGAATGAGCATAGTAGATTCATAGATACTCAAATATAATTCTCTAATAATTCTCTCCCCAGAGTATAGATTTTTCACTATGGATACTAACAAAAGAAATTATAAATTAACATCACAGCAGTATGTTATATACTACTTTCTAAATGGTAGTATCGAATATACCACTGGGTCATGCAGTCTCCAGTTACATGATTTTGTTTTGATTTACACAAAGAAAAAGATATAAAAAATAGGTTTATTATTTATATTTCACTCTTGAGTTAGCTGTGGCACTCTGCCTGCCAAGTTACAGCAAGTACACTAATCTATTCAGTAGTCTTCTCTAAATCAAAACTTCGTTTGGTACATTCACATACAAAAAAAGAAGTTGCAAACTCTTTGTACAAAACAAGAGCAAATAACTGTTACCTATAGAAAGGGGTTAGGTCAATCCCTTGATTTTATTAGAATGGCACAGAAGTGAGAAGTAAGTCGTACAACAGTAAACTGATCTGGTTTTAAACTCTTCTAAAGCCCCAAGAAATGCATTTTTGAATGGTGAAGTGAGAGTTACCACAGGCAGACAACTCATGCATTGAGCAATTCGTGTTCTTTATCTGTTTTCCCAACTGCATCTGGGTTGGACAAGGGGTCCAGATCAGCAAAGAGGCTAAACCAAGCCGTTAGATCTTTAGAGGAACTTGCAGCTTCTGCAAAAAGGAAAAACAAAGACAAACAATCCCCAAGAAGTTAAGATTTTTGCTTGACAGTTTTTTAAAATATATATATATACTAATGCTGACATAAACAAACATGGTATGGACTTAGAATGCACTACTGAAGAAAATATGTAGTATATGCCTGATAGAACCCATATTCATGTATTGCTTTTGACAGAAAATTTAAATATTCTGCAGTTATTATTTCATTTCTATATTTTTCTTATATTTTTTAGAAAAATCTCAAAGTGGTTTACAGTTCTATATTATTTATTTATATAATTTGCAACACACACACTGCCCTTAAAGTTGACTACAATAGGAAAAAACCCAATATATTGCAGTAAAATATAATAGAAACTAAAGCAGCGTAACAGGCAGGTAAAAACAAAGATATCACATAACAGCAGTAAAAAGAAATTAAGAGGATCTCAACTGCCATTAAAATGTCATTAAGAACACAAACAAGAGATTGGGATGGTTTTTCTTGAAAGGTAACAATGATGTTGCTCAGAAAACACATTTGAAGAGGAAGTTTGATAATTTAGGTGCCATCACAGAGAAGGCCTTTTTAGCAATTAGCCACTTCCCTGGCTCCTAAGCGCAGGGACTTCGGGAGAAGAGGAAGGTGGCCCACAAACTCCCTCAACTGGTGGATTGGCTCATGGTTTCTCCATTCCCAACCACTTCATAGCATTTAAATGAATTCATCTTCACTTGGATGAGCCTTTGGAGGTTGTACAAAAATGGAAAGGGAGATCACCAAAGACCCAACACTGGCAGGGCCCTAAGGGTCCGTTCTGCCTGCAGCCAGGAGTACTTGAGTTCATAGAGCATCTCTAGAAAGGGATTTTGTCAACACAGAGTGTGACCAAGTGATGACCCAGTGGAGTTTTCGTTACTGAAACAAGACATCTCCACTCAAGTCTTGGCAACATTTTAACGTCAACCAACAAGCAAGTATTGATATTCAAGTGCCGATTACTGAAATAACATGCCAGTTAAAGCATAATTAGAGGATAATTCCTGAAAGGAAGCCATTCTATGTAAATAGTTGTGAGACTACACACACACACACACACACACACACACACAACCTGGAAAACTCTAAGCTTTGTATTGCTGTGTTGGTGCACACACAATCAAAGAGTAATGTGTTTGTCACCTTTCATAGGTGTCTTGTTGACGGTCGTGTTCAGGCTGTTGGATTTCTGGGCGGTCTGTGGGACAGGCGTAGGGCTGATGCTGCTGGCTGCCCAACCTAAAATTCAATAACACAGTTGCATTTCTGTCAATCAACTATAATTACTTAACAAGCTCACACTGCTCACGACAGTAATAATTGACGCTTGAACTCTTCTGTTAAAAACAAATTCAAATCAAATCAAATCAAATTACACATCAAGGGGAAAGAATTAACGTAGTATCAGTTTACGCTCCCAATACAAACAAAACCGAGTTCTTCAAAAAATTGGAACAAGTACTACTAGAACTAGAAAATCATAAATTAATTTTACTGGGTGACCTGAATGGAGTCACGGAACCGGAGATAGACAGAAGCGAAAAAAGAAGGAAAGGGAACCAAGGGAAACTCCCCAAAACCTTTGATGACCTCCAAGAAAATTTAGACCTGATTGACATCTGGAGGTTCAAAAAACCCCACAGAAAAACAGTTTACACACTTTTCAGGAGTACATCAAAGTTGGGGTAGAATAGACCAAATTTGGGTCTCCAGAGAGCTCTCGACAAGATCAGTGAAATGTGAAATAGAGCCCAGAACACTCTCGGACCACAATCCAATCTTTCTGGAAATAAAGTGTAAGCTATTAGGACCTTATAGATGGAGAATGAACGATTACTTATTGGAACAGGATGAGATTATCGGTAAGGCAAAGAACGTCTTGAAAGAGTATTTTGATCAAAACCTGAATAAAGAAACCAAAATTGATGTGGTCTGGGATGCAAGCAAAGCAGTACTTAGAGGCTTCCTGATCCAACAGAATAAATATAGAAAGAATTTGAGAGAGGTAAAGAAGGAAGAAATAGTCAAACAATTAAAAGAAACAGAGGGAAAATTAATAAAAAAAATCCTGGAGATGAGAGGACCAAACAAATCTGTAAAATACTACAAACTCAATATTCAACATTGTTAAATCAAGAAATAGAATGGGGAATAAAAACGATGAAACAAAAGTATTTCGAGTCGGCAAATAAAACAGGCAAGTTATTAGCGTGGCAACTGAGAAAAAGGAAAAAACAAAGAGTGATTAATAAAATTAAATTGGAAGACCAAATAATAGAAGATCCTAATGAGATAAAGGAAAAGTTCCTCCAGTACTATGAAACCTTGTATAAAAAGAAGGAGGATGAAGATACAAATGAGATAGGAAGGTATTTGGAAAGGAATGGAGGGGAACAACTAACAGAAGAAGAAAAGGCACTCTTAAACGAACCAATAATTGTGGAAGAGGTCAGGATGTAATTAAGAAAATGAAACCGGGGAAGGCTCCAGGCCCAGATGGCCTGTCCCAAAAATACTATAAAACTTTAGAGGAGAACCTGGCCCCGGTTTTGTGTAACGTAATCAACAATATCTTACAAGGGGGGGGGAATACCTGATTCATGGAGAGAGGCATATATCACGGTAATACCGAAAGCAGACTCAGATATGCTTGATATAAAAAACTACAGACCAATATCGCTGCTTAATAATGACTATAAGATCTTTGCAGGAATAATGGCGAATAGACTAAAGAAATATCTGAATAGAGCGATCCATAAGGATCAAGCGGATTCCTGCCCGGTAGGCAGATAAAGGATAACGTAAGACATATAGTTAATATAATGGAATATTTGGAACTCAAGAATGATATCCCCGCTGCCTTAATCTTTATAGACGCTGAGAAGGCTTTTGATAATGTATCTTGGCACTTCCTTATAAAATGCATGGAGAAGGTAGGAATAAGAGGGCCATTCTTAGAAGGTATAAGGTCGATCTACTCAGATCAAAGAGCGAAACTAATCATTAACAGTAACCTGACAAACTCATTCACGATTACCAAAGGCACAAGACAGGGGTGCCCTTTATCACCCCTGTTATTTATTATGGTCCTGGAAGTTATACTAAACAAAATAAGAGAAACATCGGAAATAAGAGGGATCAAAATAGGTACAAAAGAATATAAAGTAAAGGCCTATGCCGACGATTTAGTAATTTCAATAGAAAACCCCACAAAAGGGATAAATACAGTTATTGAGCTAATGGATGCGTTTGGAAGGCTATCCGGGGTTTAAACTAAACAAAACTAAAACAAAGATGCTGATAAAAAATGTAGATGAACAAACAAAAAAACAAAATTGAGATGGAATCAGGGATAAAGATATCGAAAAAGGTCAAATACTTGGGTATCTGGATTACCCCAAAAAGTATAAATCTGGTGGAAGATAACTATAACAGAACCTGGAGAGAGTGTAAAAGAGATTTAGACAGTTGGAGTAGACTACAACTGTCTTGGGAGGGGAGAATGGCTGCCATTAAAATGTGTATTCTCCCAAAAATGATATTCTTATTCCAAAATATCCCAGTAGTCAGGGGCACAACAATGTTCAAGGATTGGCAGAGGACCCTGTCCAGATTTATCTGGCAGGGTAAAAGGGCCAGAATTAAGTATAAGCTGCTCACTGACAGAAGAGATAGAGGAGGGTTTGCAGTTCCGAATCTGCAACTATACTATGAGGCCTCGTGCCTCTGCTGGATCAAGGAATGGATAGTTCTGGACAATACTGACTTATTGGACTTGGAGGGCTTTGATGCTAGGTTTGGGTGGCATGCGTATTTATGGCAGGATAAGGGGAGAGTACACAAAGGATTCTCCAACCATATTATAAGAGGAGCGTTGTTGGATGTGTGGAATAGATGCAAAAGATTAGTAGAAAAGGATACCCCATGGTGGCTGTCACCCATTGACATCTTAGCAATTAAGAAATTAAACATGGAAGGTAAAAGGTGGACATATGCAGATCTTCTGAGAAGATCAGATAAAGGATGGGAAATCAGGCCCTACGAAGAACTAAAAGATAAACTAACGGGGTGGATACAATACCACCAAATTAATGCCGTTTGGAAAGAACATAAAAAAGCCGGAATGAGTAAGAATAAGTCTAAGTTCCAGCTAGAAATAATAGAAGGAAAGTCTAAACTCTTAACGAAAATGTACAACCAACTATTGGATTGGGATACAATGGATGAGGAAATTAAAGAAGTTATGATTAAGTGGGCCATAGACCTAGGATACCCCCTAGAATATGAAAGATGGACAAAATTATGGAATAAGGACATGAAATTTTCAGCCTGTGTCAGACTCCGAGAAAACATGGAAAAGATGATGTACCGCTGGTACATCACCCCAACAAAACTAGCCAAAATGTATAAAACCGGGGAGAAGACCTGTTGGAAGTGTAGGAAGAAAGAGGGAGATTTCTTTCATATGTGGTGGTCCTGCGAAGAAGTAAAAAGGTTCTGGGGTTCTGTTTATGATGAATTAAAAAAGATCTTAAAATATACTTTCCCCAAAAAGCCCGAGGCATTCCTCCTAGGAATGGTGGGGGACGAAATTAAGAAAGACGACCAAACTCTCTTTCAGTACGCAACAGTATCCGCAAGGATACTGTTAGCTCAGAGTTGGAGAACACCTAATATTCCAACAATTAGTGATTGGCAGACCAAGTTAATTGAATATATGGACATAGCAATGATGACACAGAAGATCAGGCAACAGAAAAATATCAAATTTACTAATGATTGGAATAAATTTCTCTCATACATGGAGTCGACCTTAGGAAATATCAAAATCACAGTAGGCATAATATAAAAACTGCGAGGTAAGAATAACGATTGGAAGAAGACACTGCGGAATATATGATTGAGTTATCGCTCACGATGTGGTGGTGGGAAGTCAAACAATGTAATGGATTTGTATAATGATTAAGTATCTAAACAGTAAGGAACCTAATTTTGGTTTTGTATATTTTTCTTTTTTTTCTTTTTTTCTTTTTGTCTCCTTTTTTCTTTTTTTGTGTTTTTATGGATGATGTACATATGCTTTTTAGCTGTTGGAATATAATAAAGGTGTTTTAATCTCTAAAAAAAAAAAAAAAAAATTCTAAAAATCCTGTCCTGATCTGTTGCTTTACAGCTCTGGCTTCATTGCTTTATGTAGGTCTTTACATTTTGTACTTTGTATTATGTTACTTTAACCCCGTTGTAAATTCTTCTTGTGTACTTTGGGATAGAAATTAAACAACTCTCATTTCCTTACAGGTTACTGCAACAGGGTTGTATTTCAGTCTGCTTTTTTGTTGTTTTTTGCATTCACTTTAACTGTCTTGCTTGCTCCATCAAATCCATTCATCTACTGAAACTAACAGTACAACTTGTTTTGACAATTGATATTTTTGAAGTTGTTAGCAGAGCTCATGAGCAGATCTATCTGCTGACTGGGAGTGGGGACCTTCAGACTGCCGTTTCAAATAGTGAACAGGAGTCAATCCAGCCTACCGTCTGGAAAAGGCTCCCACAACAAACAGGCTCCAGCCCTTCTGTAATAGATCTGCTAGTATTACTGCTAGCAGTTCAGGTGCCTGACACGTGCCCTATGGGTCTGCGGGTTTGGTCCAAAAGGGTGGTTAGGAAAAACTTTTGAATAATGTTACAAAGTAGTGTTCTCCATTGCTAATACAAGCAAAGTTTACAGGGGAAATTGGCCTTTGGGGAAAAAATATTGGTGCTTACTAGCTGGCTGCTCAAAGAGCAGCTCATGATATGACTAGACGCAAGATTATCAGTGAGACATTAAGGAAACCAAACCTCCTACTCTTCTGCCAGCAACTGTACAAATGTGGAAAAGGTGAAGCAAGCAGTCATTCTCTTGGCCTCAATTAAATTTAAAAATGGAAGCAACAGCTAGATTGTTCAGCCACAGAAAAAAGCTCCCATACACATAAATTAAAAATGATTCCTATAATTATTATTATCAAAATGAAATACAGGTAGGAGTGGAGAAAGGGATTGCCTTTTTGTTAAAGCCGTCTTTGCAGTTAGAAAAGTAGCCAGAGGAGGCAGTGACATAATCAGTGGACTAACTGAAACACACTCAGATCATTTGTTCTTTTTGCCTTCTTTCGCCTGCAAAGGGAGCCCTTCAACAATAACAGTTTCTTGCAGTACAATAGTGCCTGGAGGACCAGTTGAAGACTGGGAATAAATGGGTGCAGTAACAATACAGTTTTAAAGGCGGACAAAACAGACTAAAAGACAAAGGCTGTATTTACTGGATAAAAGACTAAGGGAACAGGAAAATATAATTAAGACAATTTCCGGTGGATGTAAAGTGTTCCATATATTCTTAACCCATGTCTGAAGTGAAGCATGCCTGTATGATGCCTGCCTCCTTGCTGGTCAATGGGGATTAGCAGGCATGCTTAGTTGATAAATTGCTGAAATGTTTCAGAGGCAACACAAAACCACAGAGTACTTGGGTAAACCATGGTTTGTTTCAATGTCTGAACTTGAGCTTCCCCACAAACTGATCTGGTTCAGATGTAACACTGAACACTGGGATCTTCAACTGTGGTGTTAGCATAATCGTAGTTTTTTATTACATCTGAAATCAGCTTTAAGATGATTTAATCCCACTAAAGTAAATGAGATGGAAGAAGCCTAACAGCTCTTAGGACACCTCCATATTTTTTTAAAAAAATCAGATAATCAATTTAATTGATCAGCAATAACTAACGAAGTGAACACAGTTAGGAACCTGACTAAGCAGAAGGTTTTTCCAGTCTGCCAGAATTCTTTTGTATAGCATTGTTTGCTCCAACGTATTTTATTATTTGTAAATGATTGGGATTTTACCTGGAACCTTATACAAGCAAAAACATCTGCTCTATTAACATATGATGCCATCAAACATAATTAATAGCTAGATGGGAAACTGAGACACAAAGCTAGCAACCTGTACATAACTGCTTTGATCACACAACAGTTAAGTTCTCTAGTTTACTTAACAGGCATTGTGGAATAAGGCAGTAATTTGCAGTTGAAGAAGACTTGTTTTCTGCCAGTCATACGCTAAACAGATCTCTGAAAAATAATCCTAACAAAGAGACATTTTCAATTAACAAGCAAAGCCTGTGTACTTTGGAAGAAAACCACTTACATTACTAGGAATGGAAATTCTGAAAAATAGTTGCCACGGTTGGCTCCTCAGCCATGCAAAATGAGAGGTTACTTGCATTTATAATACACCTTCAATTATTTAACAGGGCATAGCTTTTACTGGTTAACTTAGAAGGAAAACAACCTCTCTCCATATTGTGCTGGATGTCATAGATAACCAATAGCATTGCTAACAGTTGTGTTCTTTCTGAAGGGAAGTGTGTTGGCACTAAACCAAGGAGACATGAACCCCAGCCCTTGCTCCGCCCTGATCTCTCTCATTGGCCTTGGGGAAGTCATGCTCTTTCAGCCTGGGGTCCCAGCCTGCATTATGGGTTTCTTAGAGAAGGAATGACATAATTGCATTTGGCAAAAAAGAAAGTGTTCTGCAAATGTCGTAAATAATACATTTCCCCACCAGCCGTTCCTTTAAGTGATCTGTGACTGTGTTGCAGCCTGAACTGCGTAACAACAAATGTACAAGACTGCATGTTCGAAAGAGTTGGGAAGAGAACAGGCCTGTAGTCCAAACTGGGTGTGGTGTGGTGGGATACAGCAGCCTTCTATTCAGGGCAAAAGCAAGATTCAAACTAGAGACCTCCTGGCTCACTATTCAGTATTTTAGCACCAAACCATATGCGATGTGGAAGATTTGTGAACAATAGTTTTCATTTAAAAGTAACTGATCTACACTGGGGCCACAGTGCTGGGGGAGAAAGGTCTAACCATTCCCCATCTGTGCCATTTCCCGATTTAAATCACACTCATCCAAAAGCAGCTATTTGCCACAACAATATGCAGGTATCACACATCTCTCTCACTCACTGGCTGCTTTTAAATTTAATTGCGCTCCCTACCCTTGGTGATAAAGGTAAAGGTACCCCTGCCCGTACGGGCCAGTCTTGACAGACTCTAGGGTTGTGCGCCCATCTCACTCAAGAGGCCGGGGGCCAGCGCTGTCCGGAGACACTTCCGGGTCACGTGGCCAGCGTGACATCGCTGCTCTGGTGAGCCGGAGCCGCACACGGAAACACCGTTTACCTTCCCGCTAGTAAGCGGTCCCTATTTATCTACTTGCACCCAGAGGTGCTTTCGAACTGCTAGGTTGGCAGGCACTGGGACCGAACAACAGGAGCGCACCCCGCCGCGGGGATTCGAACCACCGACCTTTCGATCGGCAAGCCCTAGGCGCTGAGGCTTTTACCCACAGCGCCACCCGCGTCCCCTACCCTTGGTGATAGTTTGTAATTAAAAAAGCAGCTACCAACAATCATAGGAGATCTTGTTCGCAGATCTGCCCCACTGTGCCTGGTTTGCCTCTTAGTGGCTTTCCTACGCCATATCACCTTAAAAATCTGAGTACTTCGATTCCATTAAGCATCTGCACTACGCTAGACAAAGAGGCCAGATATGCCCCTGTCCACAGGCCTATTAAGCCAAAGTGCTTGGATTGAAGCCATTGAAGCCTCACTGATGACACGCTCCTATTTTAGGCATGCCAGTCTTGACAAGGTCCCTTTAACAACAGCTTTTTTTATTGCTACTCCAGGCTCTACTATTTTCTTCTACCTGAGGAATGTCAGAGGAATAATTTTCCCATCAACAAATGACAAGCAAACCAGCCCACGTTAACACCCTGGAGGAGTTAAGAACCCTTCACACACGTCATCCCTTCACTCTAAAAATAATGAGACAATTTTTTCCTTTCACCCTCTACGCCTCCCTCCCACAACCACCATCTGCCCAAGAAACAGCGGAGAGATTAACATAGAATATTGGCAGCAAGGAGGCTGGTCTGCTGTGCACGGAGCACTGAAGCAACAAGAGCTGCAAACTAACAAAGCACTTTCATTCTGAGCCTGTTGTGCAGATGCATCTATTTTGCAGCACCAGAGTAGCCAACTGATACTTAAGGCAGGGTAAAAATAGGGAGAGGAAAATGCATAAATGAGCTTAGTGTGAGTAACCCAAGGGAAGGAGCTATTTCCTGGAAGGCACAGCTACAAACCTCATGGGAGAGTGTTAGCGTGACTGAGAGAAGAGACCTGATTCAGATGTAATGTTGGCTGAGACCTAGTTCAGCTTTATGTGAACAAGCCTACTTCCCTCCTGTCTGCATGGAGATTGTAAACATTCATTTCCATTTTAAACTAACTGCAATTTGTTGTTTTGTCTGAACTGGGAACTACAGTTAAGTTTCCCTATGCTTATCCAAAGAAGCCAGGATCAGAAGCCATGGCTTGATCCTGGCTTGTTCTGACAAACCACTGTTTATCCTAACCATAGTTTTTTTCCAATTTGGACAACACAACCAACTGGTTAGGTTAAAATTCCATGCTTTGCATGCAAATTGCCCCTGGTTCAATCCCTGGCATCTGTCGGTAGGGCTGGGAGAAACCCCTGTCTGAAACTACTGTCAGTCAATACTAGAGACAATACTGAGATCGATGGACCAGTTATTTGATCAAGTATAAGGTAGCATACAAAATTAAAGAAATATTAAATAATTCAATAATTATTATAATTATTATTATAATAAAAAAATATCTCCTCATGGTTGTAAAGGGGGAGGGAGAGAGCACTTAAGCTCAAGGTTCATGCACATAACATTATCCTATGGTTTAGTCAGAGCTTTTCAAACTGTGTGTCGCGACATGTTAGTGTGTTGGCTGCAGTATGCAGGTGTGTCATGCAATTGCTCCCCACGCTCCTTCCGGGGCTGGGGGGGGGATTACTGTTTCGCAAAATGATGCATGTTTAAAAAGTGTGTCACCAACATAAAATTTGGAAAGCTCTGGTTTAGTGGTTATGGCTATACCCTCCCAAGTAAGTATGTGGCTTTGTTCACATGCATTCATGCATGGCACAGTGCTTGGCATCAGGTTGGTGGACTGAGCCCATCTGTTTGCTAATCAGCCTAAAATAAACCTACCTTGAAGGGAGGACTGCAAGTCATTCATGTTTTGGTCTAAAAGCTGAGAAGGAAGGAAGCCTGACGCTGATGACTGATTGTTCTCCATTTCTCCTGCGGAAGAGCTTGTGGGCATGTCAGCAAGTGGGTCCTCTCCAAATACAGCTGCCCACTCTCTGCTGAATTCGCCGTCGTCCAAAGAAGATGCATTGAGAATCTCGTTCAGTAATACCATATCATCCTTATCAGTAGCCTCAGTCTCCAAAGAATTTGCAAGCGGGTCCATTGATGCTGCTGGGAGAAGGAGTACCAAAGCAGAAAGAAATCAGAAAAAACCAACAAGTAAGAACAGAGGAAGATGCTTAAGGAATGCCCATTCAGATCTACCAGTAGTGAAGGAACTATAGCTCCGCAGTACATGCAGAAGGTTCCATGGTCAATCTCTAGAAGTCCCAGTTAAAAGGAACAGGATAGACCTTTGCTTGAAACTCTAGGCTGCTGCTGCCAGTCAGAGTAGATAATAAGGGATTAGCTAAGAGACCTGGTATAGGCCCTAGAGCTGAGGCATAGATAAAATAATTTTATGGGGAGCACCTAAACTAGATGATCTTCCAGTTGCACCTCTCATTCCTCACATTCTGGAATTCAGTCTGGACATTTATGATTTCTCACCTCTCAGTTTAACCTCACTAGATGCCATAGTTCATGCAATAACTCATGTTTTGACAGTTATTTAAAATGCAGACACCTCCAGTGGGGTACACCCCCACTTTTCCAGATATAAACCAGATATTTCAACAAAAGAACTACTTTGACCAATAATCCAAAATGATGAAAAACCCCTTTCCTGCAGAAGTCCTTATCCTTGTTGTAATAGAAATGGGATTTAATATGGACAAGAAACAGAAGGTTCATGATGGATTACCTAGAAAAGAAAGAGCTTACTTTACAGTTACACTATTCCTACTGAGCAAAGCATTCCAACCAGGAATTTTGCTGAATGGGGTTGACCTTATGCTGGCTCAGATGTCTACAAGATGAAAAATGAAGGAAATACATAATGGAGAAGCATAGAATGCCCCCTCTTCCAGATGACAAGTAAACAGGAAGGGAATATGACTTGGCTGCTTTACCAGTGTGGAAGGCAAAGAGATACAGTGATTCATTGTACTGTACATTGATTATGTGCCCATGCACTGGAGGGGCAAGAATGGATGCTCAGGGATAACAAACAGTGTCCAATCAACCACTGTTGGGCAAAAGGAGTTAAATTTCAGCATGTAGAAAATTCTAGGTAATAATAATCCTCCTTCAGAAATGGCAAAGTCAGCTATGGAATTTGCTACCGCAATTTGTGGTGATGGCCAATAGCTTGGACAGCATTAAAAGGGAATTAGAGAAAATTATAAAGAATAAAGCTATCAGGGGCTACTTGTCATGACAGGTACAGGTAGTAGACCTCTGAATACCAGTCACTGTAGGGAGCTCTTGTGTTCATTTCCTGGTTATGGGATTCCATAGGCATCCCATTGGCCACAGTAGGAGAAAGCATGCTAGACTAGCTCTTCTTATGGTCTTAGGAAAACTCAATGAGCCAGCAAATGAGTCACCAAAGCCTACTGCTAGCCAATCGTTTTACTTTCCACCTCCCTCTCAAGGAGACAATGGAAAGAATGGTGGAATCTTCAGAGCTCTCCATTACCATGTTCCCCTAGCCTCTTTGAAATACGGACCAGCTCTCAAAAGCGAGTCTCACCATATGGGAAGTTTTAAAATAGCAACTCCATGGGAAATGGACATGTGATTCTACCCTGAGAATCTGTCCAGCCACAATGTTTCTTCCCCTTCTCTAGAGAGCATGTTTGTGGGAAGAACTGTGCGGCAGAAATAACCCTGACCATCTCACCAAGACATGGCTATCCACTCTGTTCTGGATTGATGGTTGAGTTTTAACTTGTTTTATTGTATTGTATCAGCTATATTCAGATGTTAATGCACCCTGGGACATTATGATGAAGGGAGGGCAAGAAATATAGCAGACAATGCACAACAAGGTTACCCGTAAGACCTCCTGTCCCTGTAAAGACCTGCAAGATCTGTAGAACATCTAGGGAAAGTTTATTCATGGGCACTGCACCCTACAGAATATAACAGGGTGGTAACGCAGCAAAGGGCCCCTTTCTGCCATTGCCCCTGCATTCCAGAATGCATTTTCCTCTGCCATACGTGAAGCATTATCCATCCTTTGCTTCAGACATCTTGCAAAGATGCTTTCTTTTTGCCCAAGCTTTCCCTGACCAAAAGAATACACCCTGTTATTACTGTATTCCTGCTTTTATATGTTTTCATAATATATTTTTCCTAGTTATTATAATCCCTTCTTACTGTTTTTATTACATTTTAAATGTTTATATTTCTGTACAGATTGTTTACATATTAAGCAGTTCAGAAATGCTTTTAAATCAATCAATATTTATTCACACATCCAGGGGTGTTCCAAAACAATTTGCAATAATAAAAATACACAATGCACAATAAATTTAATAAGTCAATACAAATATGATATGCTTAAAAAAAAAGGTCATCCAAAAGGGCAGGGGACGGGGGGGGGGGGGGACAAGGATCATCAAAAGCAACACAAATTATCCATTCACTCCGTATAAGGTGAGCATCAGTTGCTGCCAAAAGCCCAAGCTGTCGAACTGCCTGGGAGAATAAAAATGTGTTTGATGCTGGAATTTGTCTGATGCCATCCTTGCCACAACTTCGGGTTCATAACAGTTGGCAATGCCAGTCTGGCCAACTTCATTTCGACCTACTCATATAGAAGCATACTCCAGGGGGCTGTCACAGCTGAATTATTTCAGAGAATGAATTCCATCTACTATTGGAACATTTTTCTACAGTGAATTTGAAGACTGAACACTGACCTCATTAGAAACTGAATTTAGTATAACCAGCAACATACTTCTCCATTTCCCTCAAACATGATCTCTTTCAGAACGTGAGCTTTGGAACTGTACATGCTTTTCATTTCAGTGCAACTACCTGAGGCCCCAGTAGGTCCTTTATCTGGCATTGCTGCTTTTCGTCTTCTCCAGAAATTGACTTTTGAAAAGAAGAGTTTATTTGGGAGGTGTGATGGGACAGCAGATGATCAAAACTCCCAAAACATTGCTGTTGGAGGCAACCTGGTACCCATCAGATCTTTTGGACAGCAATTCCCATCAACTCCACCCAGCTTAGTCAATGGTGAAGCTGTAGTTGAAAACATCTGGAGGGAACCAGGGTAGAAAAGGCTACTGTCTCCAAACAGGCATGAAAGTGCTTGAAGCTTTGCTCCAAAACTGCCGCAATGAGTATGATGCTAGGCATTTTTTGAAATCTTCCTGTCATTTGAAATCTTCCTGTCATTGCTTCATCACTGTGGAGCTCAGTAGCTTACCCAAAGTAAGTGGTAGTATGTACAATAGGCAGCTTTCTCTAATAAAAGCCTCAGCTGGCCAAGTAACCTTCCCTGCACTTAAATTATCCACACATAACACAGCAAAGATAAATACTTTCTTGTAATGAGTTGGGCATATTAGAAATGTATAGATGAAAGAATCTTTCGTCTATACATTAAGTAGGTCTTACACAAAAGTGACTGAGTCTTCTTTCAAACACATAGAGTGAAGTTATTGGGGGCATGAGAAGAGGAGAAGTTAGGGGACAGAGTTGACTTTAAAAAATGCCTATGAGTCAACACCACTTGGGAGAATAAAAAAAAACCTACACACCATGAATAAAACCAACTTGGAGGAAAGAAAACAGCAGCTTTAACCTGCACGATGGATGACAATTTTGAGGGCTGAACTTTCTGTTTACATCTTCAATCCTCTTTGCAGTTACACACTTACTTGTCAAGAAAGGCCAATATTATAAGTAGTCAATTATACTGGTATAAACCAGTGTGAGTTTCCAGCTGCATCAAAAATGACAGTCAAAAGTTGCATCCTAGCATACCAAATTTGGAATGAATTAGGTATTAACAAAAATTAGCACCACCCTCCTCTCTCTCAAAGAAAACAGGATTTGTGGTTAGCAGTTCACTACAGCCAGAAAGTCACAATACAGGAAATATAAGCCATCTTCAGTCATGGTAAAGCTCATGTTACAAGTGGGTGACATCTTAGATTTTTCACTTCACAAGCCACAGCTGACCCATGTGGCTCAAATAAAAAGCAATTGTGCCAAAAGACTCTCTTATTGGTCTAGAAGTGGCAAAACATTCTTGATAAATGTGACATAAAACACTGCAACTCTTCTATCCTTGGTGTAAGGCACATCTTATGTTGTGCTTCCTGGAATTTCCAGATCTAGCAGGGAATCATGAAGTTACAACATATATTGAAGACATGGTTTTAATAGTAACATTTCACCATTCCTCTGCTATGCTAGAAATTACATCTACCACAATAGCAAATAATAATGATGATAGATAATAATGATAGTTGTTGTTGTTGTTGTTGTTGTTGTTGTTGTTGTTGTTATTATTATTAAAATCTAACAGAAATACAGCAAAGAACAAGGCTATTTGATGCAGTCATCATATACTGCTGGTATTTCACAAAGAAGTCATGTATAATAGACATAAACAATTTCTCTGTGTTCTAAAAACTGTAGCTGTGTACTCACTAAGAACAGAGTTCTTATTAAAGAAGGGCCAACATGGCTTTTATCAATAAACTATTTGCACTGCTGTTACTTCTCCCTTCTCTTCCCTTTTGTTCTTTGCCTTGTGTTCAGCATTTCCTTGCCGCTTCCTTTTTCCAACAGTAAATCTATCCCTTATTTTCATAAATTGTCCTTTGCCATCACAGTATTGAAGAAAGAAAATTCTACAGAACACAGTCTGCTTTTTACCTTCCATTGATACAGATTTACTCCTTCATGTGGCATACTATGAGATTGCTGTATGTTTAGCACTTTAGTGGTTAGCCAAGCCAAGCTTAATTCACAGTCGCTTCTAATGTGGTTGCAAGTGTCAATGCAAGATGGTTCTGCTTCATACATTACACACAGTGGTTTTTTTTTAATGAATAAGTATCTGTGTAAAGGCAGCTACTGCTGGGAAAAACTTGTGAGCTAATAGGTTCCCTTACACAGTAAATACTAGCCACCCCCATGTGTGGGAGTTGTGCTGAAACAATCAGAATCAGAAGTGATGTGATAACTTCAGCATGTCGCAACCATATGTGGGAATCTAGCTTCAGAGGCCAAAAAAAAAAAAAAAGAAAGAAAGAAAGAAAGAAAGAAAGAAAGAAAGAAAGGGGGAGGGACAGGTACAAGAAGAGGTATGTTTTACTCAGAGCAAACCTGTTGAAATTACTGGATTTAGTCATGTTACTTTTTACTCTGAGTAAAACCTAGCTGAATACCACCCATAGAATTATTGCCAGGATGAATGTACTATGGCGCACACACCTGTCCCCCCCAAAAGCACAGTTGCTATGGACCACTGAAGCATAGCTGGCAAATTTTGCCTGGCTGAAAAATTCAGTGGAAGAATAGTTGTTGCTTACAACAGCATTTCAAGTCAAGGAAAGTGACAAACACTATTTCTATCACTATCAGTTCAGAAGGAGATACTTTTCTACATCAATATCATACTAAAAAGTTCACAAATTGAGGTGAATGTTCTTCTACAATCCATAAGCGCCCAAAGTGGATGATCACATCAAGACATAGCTAGCTTTTATATTAGTAAAGATTAAATAATCCAATTGTTTAAAAGATTTAATTATCCAGTTGGAGACCAGCCTCTACCAAAGGTGTAATGGACTTTGAAGACGCTTGAACTCAGGCTGAAAGGGAGAAATGGCAAACCCGCACAGTGATCACTCTCGCTCGGAAATCTATGTTCCCACTGTGGAAGGACGTGTGGATCCAGAATTGGCCTCCTTAGTCACTTACGGACTCACTGTTAAGACCGTGTTCATGGAAGACAATCTTACTCGGCTACGAATGATCGCCAAAGAAAAAGAAGAAAATACTATTTTTGCTGCCCCTTTGCAGAATTGATAAAACAGTTGACAAAAAGATTACATACCATTTTCTTCAGGTTTCAAGTCTAATAAGTCATCTATGGCTCCTAAAAATGGCAAAACATAAGGGAAAGTTATTGAGCTGTAGGCTCTTATATGTACATTTCATACTTGCAGTTATACCGTTTTCTTTAGGCAGCAATCATATGCAACTTGTCTGTCAGTAAGTCCCATTGAAGTCAACGTAACTTACTTATGAGTAGGCATGTATAGGGCTGCACTGCATGTCTAGGAGACATACCTGAATTCTCTCTGTGGTTGAAGCTCTCCCCAAAAGTACTCAGGATGTCCTTAGTTTCTTCTGCTGTAACCAAAATATTTTCTAGGTCAGAACCTAAAGTGCTTTAAACATGGAATGTGCTTCAAAGGTTTTCTAGTATGACACTCTTTGCACTGTTAACTTGCACAGTTAGGATTTCACATTTAACCTGAAACTATCCCAGATAGTTATTTACCATAACTATAATTATTTAATTATAATTATTATAATTATATAATTATTTACCAGTGGTGTCTTAAAAATCTCCAGAACCCCCCCCCCCACTATATATATATATATTTATACTCTCTCTCTCTCTCTCTCTTTTCAGTACTTTGTAGCCTACTGGGCACTCACAAAAACTATTTGCGGTTCTTAAAGGGTCTCCTTTAATTCAGTAGGTTGTATTAAGCAGTAGTTATGCTTAGAATGAACCCATTGAAATCAGTTGACTTAAGTAGCTTGAGTTCATACATTTCAATGGGTCAACTCTGAGCATGACTACCACTGAATATTACACAATGTCTTTCCAAAGCAAAACTCGTTTCACAAAAATACCATGATCTAGGTCTAGTGTACCTAATGGGTGCCACTTTAGGAAAGGCCACTGAATCAGTTCCAAATATGGTCGACCATTTACCAAGTTTAATCATTTAAGGAAGTGATAAATATCAGCATTCTAATCTTCTTTATTTGGCCATCCTCCCAGCTAAGCTAATCACTAGCACAAGACAGAATGTTGTGCAATTAAGAACATACTGCCAATAACAGAGAAAGGGTTGGGTTCCTACTTCTGTTACCTACAGATAAAATCCCATTTTGCTCTTCAAAGTATATTTGATGATGTCAAAGTCTCCCCTCAATCTGCAGCTGCAGTGTGATTCTGATAGTGAGGTGCATCTGTTCCAGGTTAGGTAATTGGTTTACAATGAAATTATTTCAAAAATGCAGATTTTTCCCCCCTGCCAGGCTGCCTACAATTAGAAATAGATTATGTTTTTGCTCCAGTTAATTATCCATAAATCCAGTTGAATTAAAATACTTTTGACAATGTTTGGTAACCTTGCTCTTAGGCCCTCACCTGGAACAAGTTAAAACCTCAACCAAGCCCAGCTCCACCACACAAAAAGCATGCAGGGGATGCAGGGAAGGTAAAAAAGTCTGGTGTGTTTGGAGAAGCACAGCAGAGCAATGCAACTAATTTAGCAGTGGCCCCAATCTATTTTTTTTTCTGGAAAGAGGTGAGGTGTGACGGTACCACAATACAGGCAATAGCTCTAGCACAGTGAGTGCTGTGTTATAGAGAACAGGCTGGAGGTCACTCAAAGTTATGGCAGCAAGTAGAAGGATATGGAGGTTTGCACTCCATGATATTTATTTTCCAAGGTGCCTTTAGAGTTGTTAAATAATATCTCTATTCTTAGATCTCTGCTCTTAATTGATTTCACATGCTTCAGATTTTTAGAGCTAGGATAAGAAAACCCTGACTGAGACAATGTATACACTAAAGTAGCTTGCAGGAACAAACTGGCACATAGCATCTATTAGGATGAATGAGAGACTTTTAAGCAGGCTGAACATTTGAAATGCATAATAAAATACCTGAGCTGGTTGATTCCTTGGTGTGGCTGTCCTCATCTAATGAAATCAACCTTAAATTGGAAGGTAAAAAAAATTGAGAACTTAGTTTATGCTGTGGTGTAGCATGTTATTGGGGAAAATAATGACAAAAAGTTACAACTGTCTCTGCCCCCTTTCAGTTTTTACAGACCAAGTCGAGATACACTCAAATTCCAAGGTGTTTTCAGAAAACAAAAATACAGTGGTACCTTGGGTTACATACGCTTCAGGTTACATACGCTTCAGGTTACAGACTCCGCTAACCCAGAAATAGTGCTCCAAGTTAAGAACTTTGCTTCAGGATGAGAACAGAAATCGTGCTCCATCGGCGCGGCAGCAGTAGGAGGTCCCATTAGCTAAAGTAGTGCTTCAGGTTAAGAACAGTTTCAGGTTAAGTATGGACCTCCGGAATGAATTAAGTACTTAAGCCAAGGTACCACTGTATGTTGGCATTTCAGGCAGTAAAGGTACAGTGACAGGAGGATAATCCTTCTAAATGTAATGGTCAGTGCAGTGACTGAATCAAAATGAGTTGGGGACCCTGTCTAAATTACAATCTTCCCATCTCCCTAGCTCTCTTTGTTGCCCTGGTGATTTCACTACAGCTGTGTTCACTTCTTCCTCATTTTCTAACTAATGCAAAACAGCATTTTAAAGCAGTCTCACTGGAGACTCTCACGAGCAAGGGAAGTCAATGTGGTACCTTCCAGATGTTGGACTCCAAATCAGGCTCAGCAGGCACAGCCAATGGTTAGGAACAATGGGTGCTGCTAACAACATCCAGGGGGCACCATGTTGGCTATCCTTGCTTTTGAGATTTAGAACTTGGTTTATTTTGTTTTCTTCTAAAGATTTAAAGAGAGCAGAAAATACTCAATGTTCCGTCTGGAGGGCAAGAGGAACTACTCTCCTTGATACGGTGTGGAGGGGCCAGCAGAACCACTGAATAAGCAAGAGGACTGATTACAGGGCAACTGACATGTACTGGCTTGGCAGGGATCATTGCTATTACTCTGCCTGCTGTCGCTCTGTGATTTTATCTGAACCATGAGCCCAGCGCTGAGGACATATCAGTTGCATCTTTAGGTGTGCAAGAACACAGGCCAAGTCAAGTAGCAGAAGCTTTTAGAAATAAAGCTCTGGTGCAAAGCAGGACAGAAGAGGGAAGAAAAAAGAAGAACACAACATGAATTTCTGAGCCACTTATGCAGTCAGGCTGAAAAGGAAGTTAACATCCGTTAACACATTTATGTGTTTTTTTTTTTGGTGTTCCTCATGCTTGTTAGAAGTGCTTTGTTGACGTGAAGTCTCTATATCTAGGAAGAGGTTCCATGTGGGAATTTTCTTCACAGCAGTCTTTCAGAATTCCTCGTATACTGTTAAGCAAGACATTTACACGATCTGTGAAGAAGAGTCTTAACCTGCTTTCCTTGAAACACAATAGTTGGAGTGAAAATGGCTATCTAGAAAAGTGACTCAGCAGTGGGTGTTCTCAAGCTCCCAAACCAGTAATGTAGAATCTGATGCCCTCCAGATGTTTCCAGACTCCCAACTTCCATCAGCCCAGGTTGGTGTGACCAAAGGTCAGGAACAGTGGAAGCTGTGGTCCAAAAACATCTGGAAGGCCACAGGTTCCCACCCCTCATTTAAATATCCAAAATTAGAAAGACACATAGCAAAATTATCTAATCTATGTCACACTGCTACTTAAAACCATTTCCCCCACGAACAAAAAACATTTTGGAGAAACTAAAAAGGCAACGAAATGAGGTCTAATGACAAACACTGAAAGCTGCTCTTCAATGAATCAACAACTAGCCTTCCCTTAACCTTGAATATTCTAAACAGCTGGCCGTGTGATTACAGCAAGGCTCATACCCTCCTCGCTGATTCTGGATGTTTCCATAGGAGGAGGATCACATCTCTTTCTCCTTTTCACATGTCCCCATCAGCCAAACTACCAAAGATTAAGATACAGCCTATCTGTATAGTGCCTCTTGACACCAGTAACTAGAATCCCACCAGGCTTAGTTCTCAGGGTGTACTCTTACAGCGTACTTGCCGCTGTACTGGATCACTTGCCAAACCCTGTATAGATTACAAGAGCTAATCAGTGCTCAAAGTCAGCAATGGATATGTTCCAATTCATGTATGCAATAGGAGCAGTGATGAGGAGGCAAAGTATAGAGAGAAATGTGCTTATATCTTCTGTATGATATACCTAAGATGCTTATTGCTTTGCTGACCCACAGTATGTCAGTGAGGAGGAGCAAAAAAGGGAAAGGGGCAGCATTCAGGAACAAAGCCCAGGTACAGCAGATAGGTGGACTAATGTAATGTAATTAATATCTATGCAATGTAACACTTTTCCTATGCAAAAGGGGATCTGTAGGGAAACTCATGGAACATATGCATGGAAGGCAAAAGACAATGTGTATTTTGCATGGCTGCAAAATATTTTTCAAATGTGTTGTCTGCAGGGAAAAATATTACAAGGGGAAAGAAGAAAATAAGAAAGAGATTCAGCTAGGGGAACAAAAAGATCATAAAAAGGAATGGGTGTAGAAAGGTTCTTCCATTCACTTCAACCAGTTTTTTGTGTGTTTTAAAATGAGAAGGAGATTTCCTGGCAAACTCAGAGAAGCTTCCACCTCCTTTCCACTGTCTGTCTCTTCTGTTTGGGATACTCATACACTTTGGGATTGGGGAAAATATGCATTTTCCTAACTGTAGAGCTAAAAATAATCTGAAAGCCCATTGTCATCTACAGTATTATTTTGTTCCAACAGATTCTTATCATATGGCTTACTGATTCTGCTGATCATCTTCTAATCTGGCGCTCTCTAGCCGCAATTCCTCCTCTTTTTCTTCACTCTCCGTTAGTTTATTTACAGGCTCTTGTAAGCTCTGGGTCACCCACCAATCAACGTATGAAAAAGAATATAGAAAGACAACAAGAAGGAATGCTGAAAACTTATCCAAAGTTGCATTAAAACAGTTTCATAGTGATGGAAATTACTTCTATCTGAACAGGAAAAATGAGAGCTCCTGAAACATTAAGAGGCCACCAATTAAAATTCAGTGAAAAATAACTTTAATGGAAACAGAATGGAAAACAGGCAGGTAGTTCGATAAATTTGATTCAAATGTAATAGAGATGATTTTCAAAAGAAAAGCTAAATATACACTGTGGCAAATAGGCAGAGATGACCCATCCTGCCACATATGCATTAAAAAAATACTGTTAATATTAGGCATCAGTGGCAAAGGGCAGCTTTGATATACAAGGTTCTTACGAATAATCGGTAGAACGTCTCTTAAAATACCACAACAAGCTTTTTCTTGTCTTGTCCCCATCTGTGATTCAACTATGCTACACATGAGAAGACTACTATGTAGGAACATCAATGGCTTTCACTTGGGTATCATGTATTTTGGGGGATCTCTGGGAAAATTAATAAATAAAGGGGGGAAGAAAAGAAAGAAAAGAAATGGGCTCGACAACCTGGACAAAATGCTCTATGGGAGCCCACCTCCCAGACTGCGCATGTTCTCTCCCTCACACACATCCCTCCTCCCCCAAGCTCCTTCCTTTCTGCCGCCTAAGCGAGTGAAAGAAGGGGCTCAAGGAACAAGATTCCCCTTTCTTTACTTTGTAAGTAGAAAGAAAAAAGGAACCATTTGTCCCCTTCCTGGAGAGAGTTTGCGGACAAACTGGCCAATTTTCCCTTCTTTTAGTTAAGTACGAGATAAAGAGACCTGGCTTACCGTGCAGAAGGAAGGAAGGAAGGAAGGAAAGAGAGATTGCTGTTGCTTTCTTCAAAACATTTTATGGAGGTTGTTGAGTTCCAGCATACCCACCAACCTTTGTGAAATAAAGCTGAAGAAAGCAACAGTGGCTTGTTCTTTTCCGCCTGCTCATGCAACCTTCCATTTGGTTTTCTCCTTTTCTCCTCCTTTCAGGTCATGTGACAGTGGCAATAGTGACTCCTATGCCTTTCCTTTTCCAAAGGCAGAACAAAGATCCAGACAGTTGTGCACATCACCTTAAATTCTCACAGTCCCTCATGAGCCCAGAGGCTCAGCACTTTGAGAAACCAAGGTTGTTCCACATCATGCCCACTATTTTAAAAAATGGTGTGTGGGTGTGAAGGAATGAAAGGAGGTGAAGAAAAGATGTTTTGGGCAACTGTTGCTGATGGGCTGCAGTCATCTCCCCACCCTGGGGACATCAGGGCCATGGAGCTATGATGCATTGTTCAGTTCTAGTACCACCACTGAGTGAATTTTATTAAAGTGCATGCCACAATTAGTTTGTTAGGGAGGAAATTCCTTTGGTGGCCTTGTGCTCATAAGAAGCACTTTTGATCCAGCAGAGGTCTCCATTAATGGAAGAAGAGGGGAGGGTGGGGTGTTTTTTATTTGCCAGTTCATCCTTCCTCCTGAAGCATCTAGATGTTCTGAAGGGTCCCCCACTATCTGGATTCCGTTTTTGTGACATTGGATTCTACAGGGGTAAATTGGCAAAAATCGCCTCCCCTTTCCGTCCATTAGTAGAGGCATTCACAGGATCAAAAGCTCTTCCATGAGTGCAATGGCTCTAGCAGGATTCCTCCCATAGTCTTTAAGGCAGAGCTTTCCAAACTGTGTGTTGCAATACGTTAGTGTGTCAGCTGCAGTGTGTACATGTGTTGCGCGATAAGTGTCTGTATCTCTTATAAGGGGTTAGTTTAATCTCTGGTTTGCTAGTAAAACTGAAAAACTGTGTTGCAGAATGACGCATGTCTAAAAAGTGTGTCACCAACATGAAAAGTTTGGAAAGCACTGCTTTAAGGAGTCACAAGACTGCTACAAAAGACTAACAAAAGTTAATCTATTTGAAAAGAAAGAAGCATGTTGCGTAGTTTTGCAAGTTGTGGGATTTATAATAGAAGATATAATAAAATGCTGTTCCAAGAATCAGACTCTTAACCTCATTACCACCATGCATTTTTCAGGCTGCCAAAAGATTGAACATTCCACTTATAAGTTTACAGCTACATTTACAGTGTTCTGCCCACTTAAGATTATTTTTGTTTAAAAAAGTTTTCTATTTCATGCTATTTGCTGTTGCATGGTCTGCATTCTGAGATAGGGAAAGTGATGCATCGGGCTGTTAACAGGAAGGTTGGTGGTTCGAACCCACCCAGAGACACCTGTGGGCAGGATTCCTGCATTGCAAGGGATTGGAGTAGAGGACCCTCGAGATCCCTTCCAACTCTGCGATTCTATGATTTGATGAGTCTGATTCTGATAATAGTACTTTAAAGATGTTTGACTAACATGTTGTCATCCTACCATGTAGGAAGAATGTTGTTTTATGCAAATACAAGTTACAAACAGCAAAAACAAGATTATTTTTTTAAATTACCGTAAATTATCTATCCATCTTTTGAAATACTAGGGCACAATAAACCAGGTGGGGCACAATCAGATTTTCTTCACACATTCTCAGATGATCTACCACAAGGTTCTTAATTCCAAACAGGGTGCCAAGTGGAGAATATTCCGTCTTATCTCCATTAGCTCCTGTGTTGGTCCCAAAGCTAAACAAACTGATTCACTAGTGGAGGCATTGCAAAGTCCTGCCAATGTAATGCTGATCCAAAAACAGCTGTTTGTACTTAAGTTACCTCTGGTATTTTAAAGTGTTTTTAGTTAACAAACAGGCAATTTCATTTCTTCCTCCCGTCACAATAAGCTTTTCTATAAATATTTACATGAATTAGAAGCCCAGGAGATGCATATATTCCTCAAGCAGGTGAATTAACAGAAGAGGCAACAGCAAAACCCTTATTAAGGAACATTATTGCCTAGTTGAACCTAGATTTAAGCTTGCAAAAAAAGCAATTTATATAAGATGAATATTTTTTACACAATAATTATTTATACATAGTCTAGGCCCGGTCACCTTTAGAGACTAAGAAATTGCCTCCAGATGATTTATGAGAGTTGGTATAGGTTTTTTTTTATGCGACAATGAGTAACAATGATTGTGTAAAAACAGGCTAGGAAACATTTCTGCGAGCTACTAATTTTGTATATTTCCACATCTGAAACAGTCACTTGATCAAGATCAGCAACTGATTTTGAAAGAATATATTTCATTAAGGAATTTCTATGCTTTTCTTATATCTGGGGGTAGTGGCGTCACTGTGGTCTCCATCCAAGGCACTGAGTGTAGCAGAATATCCAAATGCGCACGACCATAGTGTGACCATATAACCCTTGATAGCTTCACCCTTGTCTTTTTAATTATTCCAATTACCTGAAATGTTTTATACTGTGATGCCAATAAAGGTATTTGATTGATTGACCCAGATACCAGTTACACCACTTAGATCAGTAACAGCAGCAGCATAGTTCAGGATTAAGTAATATCACCCTATAACCTTGTGCTCTTACATCAATTTAACATCACCCAAATGGAACCATCCCAAACATATGAATGGACATAGAACCCAGAAATAGATTCACAAGTTTTAATGTTTCTGTTTTCTTAGACACTTTAGAACAATATTCAGAAGGGCCATTTTCAAGGGCATAGATTCTGGTTGGTAAAATGCTAGTTGAGGTAGCAAAACAGGAGCCCAAGTAGGAACACAGGAAGCAGCCTTAATACTGAGTCAGACTGGCCCACCTAGCTCAGTTCTTGTCTACACTGACAGGAGTCTCACCAAGCCCTCATGGACATGATTGAACCTGCAACCTTTTTGCAGGCAAAGCAGGTCCCTCTACCACTGAATTATGGTTAGCATCCCTTTGAAAAAAGAGGAATACTGCAGGTAAACACTCCATTAACTGTCTTGACCTACTTCTGGTCATTCCATCTTTGCAACTGAAGTGGATTGTAACCAATGAAAGCTTATGCAATATTAACAACTACATAATTGGTTAGAAAAAGGTGCCGCAGAATTCAAACTTTGAATAAGTTAACCAAAGGCCTATATGATAATCCTAAGCATACAGACAAAAGGGAACATGGAAGGAAATTGCAAAGAAAGCAGCATACTCACAATAACTGCGTTCTGGATTAGGAAAATGAACACAGTACAAGTACTAACGCCAAACTTTGAAATTTATGCCAAGCAGAAAATTAAAACAAAATACATGTTAAATGAATATGTTATGGCAGTTTCAGTAGCATTCTGGTACAAAGTTATACAAATTGTTTTTCTTTTTAACTACTACTGACAAGAAGAACTAGGTACTTGTAAATAAGGTTTATTTTTTAAATAAATAAGGTTGAGTAATAGCAACGATGTATCTTCTGGCGATGATAATGTTAAAATACAGAATACATGAAAGCAGCAGATAGAAGCTGCTGATGAAACTGTAAAGACATTAATTTATCTCACAGGCTTTGTAGCTGCCTCTGTGTCTAATCAAACTCATTTAAAATTAGGAATGGACTCCCCCCTCCCTTTTGCAAGATACATAGCAACCATATAATACAATTTGTAATGTAACAGATACCAGATACAACCCCATCAAATCCTATTTGCCTTTTCATGAGAAATGGTGAGGCTCACAGCAGTAGTTATGATTACTAGGTCTTCAGACTCTACTGCAACATTTAAGAATTTTAGCCTCCTCCTCAGGGTTGTGGAGATGACAAGGAACCTAGTTATATTTTCCTGAGCTCATCTTCAACATTTCTTCAATAATATTTTCTAAATCATAAAATAGTGATGCTTCACTACTGACCATTGAGAAAAGGGAAATTGAGAAAACACTGAAGGTCCCCTAATACAAGGTTACTGCAATTTATCCTTCCACCATTTCCTTCCTCACATATTACCATTCTTATTTGTTCCTATGTCCTCTTTTCTTTCTCTGCTTTCAATATTAAAGCAGTTAAAATAAATTTATTTATCTAACAAAATTTATATACTGCTTGACTGTAAATAGAAGCTCTAAGCAGTTTACAAAGCTAAGTGGTTTACAAAATATCCAAGTTTAATAATACCATATGAATGGTGCGTCCATGTTCTCTATTCAGCATATTTCAAAACTTAAAATGTTAATCTTTAACAAAAAAAGGAGTCAAGAGGAATCAACACTCTCCTAACAATAAAAAGAATGAATCCTGAAAGCTTGAACAAACTCCCCTGGTTACCCCCAAGCAACAAAATTCTTGGACTTGTTAGTGCATTAAAAATATTCTCTTAAACACAAATACAACTATCAGGAAACACAGCTGCAATTACATTACTTCCACAATATACCCTGAAGCTAAGAAAACAATTTTTATCAGATTGTTCATTACCAGAGTTTAGCGAAGAGAGAAGAACTCCCACTGCTAAAGCAATGTATTATTTCCAGACACGTTCCCAAGGGCAGAGTCTCTCTTTCTGGAGATAACACTTTAGCATGAATAAATGATCACTTCATAAAATTGTTGATTTATTAATGATATTATTAACTAAAATAGAAAACTGAAAAGTAAACCTGTTGAACTTAAAAAGCCTAGCCTTCACCAAGTTGTACTCAGATGCTAGAAAACTGACACGCTTCCTTAATTTGGACAGCTGCAGTGTGGTCTGTGCAAATAATTATTTAACGAAACTAAGAACATGCTTATTCTGCATTAGGAAGGCAAGGCATTCCAAAAGATAATTTTCCCGTATCCTCATTTCTGATAACAGGAGAGCACACTTATAAGCAACCTTCACTACTAGGAGTATGCTGTAGTGGCTATTGTGTTGGACTTACTGACCAAACTTACGTACCTGCTTAGCTTCAAATTCAAATATCTGCTTTGTAACAAAGTTCAAGGCCAAACTAGATGTGATATGGATTGTGCAGCTGGTTTATTTAACTAACCACTGTTTGTTTTAAACCAAAATTCCTGGTTTGCATATAGCACTGAGCAGTGATTCTTCTGAACTTGACAGAATTCCTCGCCAGGCCACGCAGGGGTGGGGAGAGGGGGTGAGGCAGATGCTTTGCTCTAGGTGACTGAAGACTGTCTACAGAACACCAAACCATGGCTTAGAATTACATGCATACCAACCCAACATTATGGGTTACATACATGGGTTGACCCAAATGTATGGGATTACAACATACATTTCAACATTCTTCTTAATACATGTTAGAAGTGCCTGCTAGCATAGTGTGTGTGGGCTAGCTGCACTTACGATATATAGAAATTGATGAACACTCCTAAGTGTAAAAAAGTTCTACAAAAAGAAGCTTGACACCCCTCTTTCATTTATCCAAATTACTTTGCCAAGTAGGCTAGAAATGAACAAACCACTATATATGCTTACCTTTAGCATCATGAATTCATAAGGCTGATACCCTTTGAAACTTTCATGAATAGCTGCCATGGTATGAGATGTTTTTTCCCAAAAGTGAAGTAGGGTTGTCTGTAATGGAAAGAACCAATGAAAGTTACATATACCCAACCTTAGCCTTATGGGGAGGAAAACTTGATTGGACTGCTACATAAAGGCAGGTGGGTATCATTATTAAGCAGAAGTTCTGGTTTAGTGGATACTTTCTTTTCCGATACCTGGTATGTTGTGAGCACATGAGACAGAAGATTACATCGGCTTGCTCCGAGAAGATCCACTTTTTGACAAACGTCAGTTTTCAGCTTGTCAAAGTTCAGTTTTGCATGGCGGACTTGTGCTTGGACCTATAAATATAGAGAGTTTCAGAGAGTAAGAGCTTCTTCAGATACCAGGACATCCCAGAAAACACCCACCCATCAGCATGTCTGTCGTATTTCCAAATAATTATTCAGCAGAGTCATTATTTGTTTTATTTAATCGATTTATAGACCACACTTCAATTAATAAATTCGTGGAAGTACTAGTGAATAAATTTGATTCTCCAGAGGTAAGCAGTATCCACAGAAGCAAATAAATTTTCATGCTTGAAAAAGGCAGATTACACACACACACACACACACACACACACACACACACACACTCTTACAGTGCAGTCTCAACAAAATCTATGTCAGGGCAAAACAACAAAACCCAAAGTTTGTTGCAGACGTAGCTGCTACCTCTCTCACTCTTGGCAAAGACAGACCATGAATACCAGTGACTAATGGTAGGTCCAGCTCTCAAACATGCCTATTCTTCCATCAATATATTAAGGTCATATTTCTCAGGTGACCCACTCTTTCTTAGACCACATTTTTGTCAATAGAAGAATTTTCAAACATTACCCTGGAACCTAATCCAGACACTTTCAGGGCTCAAGCCACCTGGGATGTCTTCTGACAATGTTCCTGCCCTTTTCTATAATATATTGACTGTCTACATTCTAATCCTACCATGTTCACACATTAACTTAGACACAAAGGTTTCTGTGCTTAAATTGGCAAAAGATACATGACACAAAACGATGCATGTACTTCTGAATTATCTCAATCACTCAGGCAACAGTGGCTGGGGGATGGGAACAGAATCATACTTCAACTTTTTTGTTTATTGCAGGTGAACTCATTCACTTAAACACACAACATACGCTTTTTCACCTGATTATTACTAATTGCATTTATTAGTCTCTCTTTTTTTCCACAAGGAGTGACCCAAAGCAAAATGAAACAAATTTGCTATATGCAAATGAAATATAATAAGCAGGACAAAATTAACTTAAACAATTCAAATCTGAGTAATATTTTTTTTGCATGTAAGTTTTTGTTCAAAATGCAAATACTGTGGATTGGCTCGACTTCACTTTGTTGCAAGTGGTATTAGAGCATCGGACTTAAAAATACAGCAGGGTTGAAAAGACAATAGAAATGGTATCTATGTAAACTGATCTTTCTATTCCCACTCCCATTCTGTAAGACTGCAAAGGATTGCAGTTGTGATCCTACCATTTCATTTTCAAAATATACTGTCTAACCTAGCGACTGGTTTAATAATAATAAAAAAATCTAATATGCTTTACCCATATGTCAATGCACCCCAGGATTCATTACTCAAACAGCTTAGTCAGTAGCAGTCCTGAGCACTTCAAAATGGGCATTAACTGTAGCAGAACGGGCATTAGCTTCCAAGTATTTGTCTTTGGGAAGAGTATGATTAAACCAACATCCCATAATCTAGAATCCTGTCTCACAACATACTGTAATATCCACCAAAAAACTCATACATGCAGTCTTTGTTTATTACAACTGTTGTTTCTTAAGAGAAATAGTTTTTTTTCTTATGCAACACCACAATTATTTTCTTTTTTAAGGGATGGATAACTTATAAACAGGAAAGGATGACTAACATTAGATGTACTTGACCCAATATGTAACATAAGGCCATATGCTTTCTGTGTCAATACCGGTTATTATAATACTTAGAGCACTGTGGTGTTACCAAATGCTACATGTTTTCCTCTGCCAAGACAGGAAATGTTCCAGTATCAAGTTTTATTAACACGGATGGATTCTATTTTATACTTGGAAGGTACAAGAGGTTCCAACACAGCAGTGCAGGGCATTGAGTACAGAATTCAGAACAGTAGAATCATAGAATTGTAGAGTTGGAAGGGACCCTAAGGGTCCTTTAGTTGCAACCCCCTGCTATGCAACTAAAGCATCCATGACAGATGGCCACACAACCCCTTTTTGAAGATGGGGACAGTTCCCTGCCTCCCATCTGCAGGGAGCTCACCTGTTCTCCAAGAATTCTCAAAGATTATAGACAGAGGCTCTGAGATTACATCCATAAGCTCCTTTTACTACCACTGAATGCAACACATAAGGCCCTGGAGATTTAAATTCATTTAAGGTAGCTAGTTGTTTCCTTACCACCTCTTTTCCTATCTTGGGCTGTATCTGTGCATCTTTTATTCTATTATCATGTTGAGAACTGCTTTCCTTTTCAGTGAAGACAGAGGCAAAGTAGGTGCTAAGCAGGTGGAGAAAAGAACTGCTTCTCTCTACAGGAATGGTGAGAGGAGCTATAGATGGACTCAAGGGCTGGCTTGATGGCAGCCCTTGAAAAAGCAGCCCTTCTTAGAATCATGGTCAGAAATAGGTTGACAAACTCTTGTTTGGAGCTAGCCAAATTTATCATTAATACTGGAAGTCACATTGGCAAACCACAGTTAGCTTTGGGAAGGGAGGGGTACGGTAATTCACAAGAGAAGGAAATATGAGGAAAAGAGTGTGAGAGCTTGTGAGGTAGTCATGGTCTTCTAGATGAGAATGAGAATATTGTATCTATTAGGCCAGGGTTTGAAAGCTCCAAATTATATATAGTCTTTAAAATGAGCTCATTCCACACAGGCTAATCCTTTCCTACCAATCATCTCCAAGGCAACTGCAGATGTTTTCAAGTTGTGTAACTGAACCCAGAGCCCCATGACTTATTTGTCAATTTAAATGAATGGGAAAGCTATTACATAACAACTTGCATCTGGGCATGCACTAGAATCCACCACCCACAAGAAATAATGGAACTGGAGTACAGGATTCACTCACATGAGGGAAACAATGCATTACAGTTCTCTGAGTAAATAGGGATTGGATCTACTCTTAGAGAGAAATCCAGAAAGCGATAAATTGCAATGAAATATTTTCCACAAATGTCTTTCTCCATATTACCCCCTTATTACTTCTGTGAATGTTCCCATGAATGTTTTCCAGGAATTTTTCCTCAGACATTACCTCAGATACAGGTCACAGAAAAGTCTTGCCTTATTAATGTTGGGACATTATCTATGTACTCAGTGCAGTATCCGAGTACTGAGAGGTAACAGAAGTATCTGTTAATTCATAGGACCTGATGCCTCCCTCTACACCTCCATTCTCAGATGACAATACCCCTTATGCTGGATCAGGATCTATAGGGGAACACATGCAGCTTTTTTGCTGTAAAGGAGATGAGATACGGTTTTCTAACCACAAACACTGGGAATTTCCTAACTGAAGGGGATGCACTATGATGTCCAGCAGTAATATTAAGTTTATTAAACTTATTTTGTTCCCCCCCCTGTAAGAATGTCAGTGTACATTTAGCTCTTCCCTGTCCCCAAAACTGATATAGAGAACTGAGCCAGGGAGGGCAAGATGTTTTACTGGATATTTGCTGGTAATATCAGGTGAAACAGAAATTGAGCTTTGAGATTTACAAAATGGAGTAAAATGTGGCCGAATGGGATGGTTGTGGCAAAACAATTCTGGATACATAAACTGGTTTATTGAGCCAAAAACAAGTGTCATGCTCAAACATTTCCCTTTACTCTCCCCCATTCCCTTGACATGCTGGCTCCAATCGTGATTTGCTTAAACTTGTTTCCCATGACATCTGAATGAACATCTTCAAGTTAACTCAAGTATTCAAGTTACCAGGAGAGTGTCTACTTTTGCAGAACACAAAAAGGGTTCAGGGGCAATAATGCTATGAGCTGTGTAAGAGATATTTTAGATTTACAATGTAAATGGTATTTTGGTCCTGCCAAATTGTACCATTGTATTGTTATACTGAATGTATTTTTTAGCGCATTCCTATGCATGTTTATGCAGAAGAAAGTCCTACTGAATTCAAAAGGGGTTACGCCTCAATATGATCGCACAGGATTGCAGCCTTAGTTAACCAAGTTATGTATGTTTTTCTATTGGCACTGCATTGTGTTCTATTGGATGAGGTGATTTAGCAGTGCACACACAACTGAATTATGGAACTTGCTCCTACAGTAGGCAGTGATGACCACCAACCTAGATGGCTTTAAAAGAAGATTAGACAAATTCATGGAGAGGGCTATTGAAGGCTACTAACCATGATGGCTATCCTTTGCCTCCACAGTTGGAGGCAGTGATGTTTCTGAATACTACTGAATGCTGGAAACACAGGAGGAAGTGCAACTGTGCTCGAATCCTGCTTGCAGGTTTCCCCACAGGCATCTGATATGGCACTGTGAGAACAGGATGCTGGACGAGATGGGTCATTGAGCTGATCCAGCAGGCACTTCCTATGTTCTTACGAACAATCTTAGCCCACCAAGCAGGCATAACTAGAGGATAGGATTGCTCTGTTAATTGTTTTTTGTAGTTTCTGATATTTGAAGGAAAACAGAACTCTTTGCCACTTTGCCTCGGTCCAGTATATCTGAAGGAAGCGTCTCCACCCCCATCGTTCTACCCGGACACTGAGGTCCAGCACTGAGGGCCTTCTGGAGGCTCCCTCACTGCGAGAAGCCAAGTTACAGGGAACCAGGCAGAGGGCCTTCTCAGTAGTGGCGCCCTCCCTGTGGAATGCCCTCCCACCAGATGTCAAAGAGAACAACAACTACCAGACTACCAGACATCTGAAGGCAGCCCTGTTTAGGGAGGCTTTTAATGTTTGATGTAGTACAGTATTTTAATATTTTTTTTGGAAGCTGCCCAGAGTGGCTGGGGAAGCCCAGCCAGATGGGCGGGGTATAAATAATAAATTATTATTATTATTACTTTGTTTTCTAAGACTGATCATTTCAAATGCTGAGGTTTTAGAAAGACCCCAAACAGGCTCTATTTAGGCCACTAAAGCTGGAGAAAACAACAGGTACCCATGAGGTCAGAATACTAGAATGCTTTTGCTTTTAAACTGTCGTATCTGTTTGCTGCCCTGGGCTGCTTGGAGACAAAGGGCGGGGTATAAATTCCCTCAATGATAGTGTAGTTTATTATTTCAATTTCTAACC